TTTCTATGAAGGAATCGTTCCATCTTATTAACATGATTGCATGGTGCCTTGGCAAGTTGCTAGTTGATCAGTAGTTTTTTTTTTTTTTTTTGCACTAAAATCAAAGCTAAAATTTCTACTCAAACACATTAGTCATACTAATAAAGGGATTCCTGTACTTTCAACTTTTGTAGTGTACTTTTGATTTTCACAGTCATTATCAAGAACCGATGCAGTGTCTGAGTGGTAGTTAGAATTCTTTTGTCTGCATCCTGGCATTCTTTGGAAAGCTAGACATTTGAAATGAACTAGTGTGACATCATGTCCATACTGTGCCAACATTTGACAATGGATTTCTGCAGTTTTGACTTGCTCTGCACTCAGAAAGTGCACTGCAGTGCATTGTTCCTCGATGATGCAATTGCTAAGTCTGGCAACTGCTTCTCTTTTCGCTCTTAACTCTGAAAGGAGTTGTTGGAATAGCAATGTGCTGGACACTACACCATTCTCCTCCATCTGTTGCGGTCATGTGTCTCTACAAATGCTTTCTTGGTGTGCTTATCATGTGGCAAGTCTTGGGTGTGTTAATCTGGAGGAGCCCATAATGATGAATATCATAAATAAAACAAATAAAATTTAAATTTTGTTTACAATAAATTAAATAAAACCCAACTAATAAGATTTCTCCCAGAATGCAACAGAAACTTTTACTGCCTGAAAACAGACTTCATGCCAAGAAATGCCAAACTTATTATCTTTGCTACGGAGCCTTGTAACGTCAAGACTTCCATCCCCTCTACTTGGAACTAGTTTGTCGTAATACAAAGTGACTTTCTTCCTTTATCACATGAATCTCAAAACACAGGTAACTAAAATACACTCACAGACAAGTACACAAAAATAAATAAATTGTATGTTTTGTCCTTCGGAACACGAGGTATGATGTGAGTGGCCCCACCGTAGAAACAGACTGAGATAGATAGATAGATAGATAGATAGATAGATAGATAGATAGATAGATAGATAGATAAGAGCAGACTGAGATAGATAGATAGATAGATAGATAGATAGATAGATAGATAAGAGCAGACTGAGATAGATAGATAGATAGATAGATAGATAGATAGAGAGAGAGAGAGAGAGAGAGAGATAGATAGATAAGAGCAGACTGAGATAGATAGACAGACAGACATGAACAGACTGAGATAGATAGATAGATAGATAGATAGATAGATAGATAGATAGATAGAAAAGTATATTGTTTTAATAATATCAGAATAATCAAGAATCCATACTGGCAGCAAACAGCATGCATACAGATAGGGAACGAGTTCAGTGAATATACAAAAATAGAAATGGATGTAAGGCAAGGATGTGTCTTCTCACCCGACTTGTTCAACCTATACTGTGAAGAATTGGACACACTACTGGGATTTAGCATTGGTGGCCACAACCTTAACAACACAGATAATATAGTACTGATAGCAGACATGGAACAGAAATTACAAAATCTCCTACAGATAATAGTGACCGAGAGTGAGAAGAAAGGACTAAGCATAAACTACAAGAAGACAGACAGCAAGCAGTTTGCAGGTTGGCAACAAGCAGACACAGAAGTTTAAATATCTGAGATTCATAGATGTATAGGGATGGCCAAGGACACATTCCAAAAGCTGGGCAGAGTACTGCAAAACAGGATGATTTCTTTGCTAACAGTATTCTCTTATACTGAGCTCTTACGTGACATCTGTTCTTTATGGCAGCAAATGTTGGACAATTTCCTCAAAGATGAAAATGAGACTTGAGGCGACAGAGATGTGGTTCTACAGAAGGATGCTAAGGATATCATGGGCTGAGCATGAGCAACGATGAGGCCTTAGAGAGCATGCAAGCAAGAAGGCTTATACTTCAGGGACACATAATGAGGAAGAAGGGCCTGGAGAATCTGATACTCACGGACTGAATAGAGGGAAAGAGAGACAGGGGAAAGCAGTGCATGACATACCAGGCGAGATTGAGCAGGTGGATGATAGAACATGGTCTGGAGGAGGAAGCAGAGGAAAGGAACTTGTGGAGAGCTGCAAAGTATAGAGACAGGTGAAGAGCCATGATCGCCTACATCCTGAAAGGACATGGCGCATAAAAAGAAAAGTTCTAAATACTGCAAATTTCAATGGCATTTATCAACCACTGACAAAAATGGCATTCACCGCCAAAATGAAACTGTTGATAGATAAAGAAATGAATGTTGTAGGTGCACGAGACAATAGACAACTTCTTAAGTGACTGAGATTTGTAAGGAATAGCACATGTTGTCCTCATCTTTTTCTTCTTCTTTTCCCTTTGTACACAATGCTGTTAATGGCTGGGTGGAGCTGAGTAAGATTCAGATATCATAATTGTCATTAGATGTGTTGCCGTTTTAGATTTTAAGTGCTCCAAGACAAGGAAATCTCATCACTTTGGTGATGCCACTTTTGCATTCTCAAAGAATAAAAAGAAAATCATAATCATACGAGCCTTATTTTCCGTTCCAGCTATCATGCTTTTTTTTTTGTCTGTCCATTTTTTTATTTTATTTCTTTTTTTGTGCTTCCATTTCTCTTTATCACTCTCTCCTTTAGACACACTCTGTGTGTCTATATATATATATATATATATATATATATATATATATATATATATATATATATATATATATATATATATATATCATCAATACCATATATTTTGCCTTTGATGAAAGTATTGCAAAATAAAATAACAGACATTTGCCTTTTAGTAGACCCTCACAGATAGATAGATAGATAGATAGATAGATAGATATGAACAAACTAAGGTAGAGAAAGTAAGATAGATAGACAGGCAGACATGAACAGGCTGAGATAGATAGATAGATAGATAGATAGATAGATAGATAGATAGATAGATAGATAGATAGATAGATGAGAACAGACTGAGATAGATAGGTATGAAAAGACTTAGGTAGATAGATAGATAATGAAAAGACTGATACATAGGTAAATAGATAGATATGAAAACAGATACATAGATAAGAACAGACTAAAATAGATAGATAAGAACAAAGATAGATAGATAGATAGATAGATAGATAGATAGATAGACATGAACAGAGATAGATAAGGATAAACAGATAGATAGATAAGGACAGACTGAGATAGATAGGTATGAAAAGACTTAGGTAGATACATAATGAAAAGACTGTTATATAGATAGATAGATAGATAGATAGATAGATAGATAGTGAAAAGACTGAGAGAGATGGGTAGAGAGATAGATATGAAAAACTGAGATAGATAAATAGATATGAACAGACTAAGATAGATATGAATAAACTAGATAGATAATACATTTATCTTTGTTACTCCCTTTTATTTAAAATGTCTTGTTAGTAGATGATGTAAATACATTAAATTAAATTGATTGTCATTCAATTAACCGAGTCTTTAATTAAATACACAATTGTGAAGACAACAAAAAAGGGAAAACTCTTTGAATAATTCAACAATCGTTAAATATTTTGTTCCAAGTTATTCAAAGCCAATAAATAATGGGAGGGGGCGGGTTAATTGAAAACTCCTTTGAAAAGAAATTGATATATGATTCGTTGGGTTGCAAGGCATCGTAGGTTTGGAAAGGGATCGAAATTTGAAAAGGAGGAAAGGAGGTAAAGTGACAATAACATAAAAAGAAAAACGGATGATGAAGAAAGGAAGTAAATTGGCAGGAAAGAAAAGGATGGGAGGAGAATTTGGAAGAAAATGAAAGAAAAGTAGAACTGAATAAAAAAAAAGAAAAGGAAAATAAAAGAATGAATTTGAACGAAAGTAAATTTGTGAAGAAAACAAAACCAATGAACAATTATAGTGGTCTGAGACATTGCGGTTTAAAATGAACAAATGATTTTTACCCACACCAAGAAGGTTAATGGCAGAGAGAATTTATTTACGAAATTACACATTTGAAGTTGTGCCAGTAGCTAGTTTCAGGAAAATATATCACAAATTTTTGAAGACCATAATTTCAACGAATTGTCAAGAAGTCAAAATGTTCATTCAACTGATTAAATCATCTGAGATAGGATACTATTCAAAAATATTTAAAAACAAATTAAGAGACTTTGTTTTTCACAGGAGGGTTATATGGTTGCATGCATTCATTCAAAATTAGATGATGAGTTTGAAATATTGACATAGAATACTATTATTCAAAAATATTTAAAAACAAATTAAGAGACTTTGTTTTTCACAGGAAGGTTATACGGTTACATACAGTGTAACCCGGATATAAAGTCTCTTATCGGGACTGGAGAAGTTTCTCTTATATCCGGGTTTCTCTTATATCCGGGTTTGGCCTATTTTATATACATTAACACAGGCTCTAATTTGGGACCGGAGAAAATCTCTCTTATATCCGGGTTTGGTCTATTTTATATACATTAACACAGGCTCTAATTTGGGACCAGAGAAAATCTCTCTTATATCCGGGTTTCTCTTATATCCGGGTTACACTGTACATTCAAAAGTAGATGATGAGAGTTTGAAATACTTAGTTTTCTTGGATTGTTGAAATAAAGTTTTTTGATATACCAAATGCTTGGCTAAGGCTAATAATCAGTGAGTAATTTAACACTGGTGAAAATCTGAATGCTGGACATATGAAGAGAAAGGTAACTTTTCACATAAGACAAATGAAAAAAGTATATCGTCGCTAGTCTTATTTGTATGTATCTCTTTGAATTTCATTCTGAATCATTTTATTTACTTATTCCATTTTTTTTCTTGGTACAAATTCTTTTTTTCAAAACATTTTTTAATTGAAGTGAATCTAGTCTATCCCCCTTTTTAAAAACTTTGACTATTAGTTCTTTAAATGTTTTTCTTTCTGCCTCATGCAATTATTAGACGTTATCTTTATTACTGGCTCACAGACATGGTGTGTTTCGACTTCCATTCTAAAGTTAATGCTAGCTATGGTCATATTAGCAGTGCCACCTCCTTCATTCATGGGCTTTAAATTCGGACATAGTATCATTTCTAATCATTTTATTTACCTATTCCATTTCTTTTTTCTTGGTACTAATCCTTTTCTCAAAAATTCTTTTAATTGAAGTGAATTTAGTTTATCCCTTTTTTAAAAACTTTGTAAGTGTGCTAGGTTGGCATCTCGGTCCCACCCTTTTACTGTCAAAACAGTTAAATGTAACTGCCTCTTCTACTCCAACAGCTTCTTCTCTCACACTTCCCAACAGTGGAACTCCCTTCCTCTTACTTGCTTCCCTGACAGCTGTAATCTTCAAATATTCAAATGCAATGTTAATCGACATCTTCTGATGCCTTGATCTTGATCCCCATCCTTCTTTATGTCCTGTACTCAAATACCCATCTATATTCTTACTCTCAGTCTCTGTAACCCCTTGCATGCTAGTGGCACTCCAGCCTTGCTTGTGGGGAAATGTTTTTAAAAAAAAAACTTTGGACACTTTTCTCTTAATGTAATTTTTCTCCTTATTTTATATCAAAGGCTCGATATTTGCTTTTCTTTCTTTTTCAAGGCTCAATGGATAATTCCTGTGAAAACGAGATTTTCATTGGTCCAAAGAAAATTTCACACAGGCTCACAAATTTCTTTCTGTCTTTTTCCTCAGCTCGCCTGAATTTGAAAGGAGTGGGCAAAGGGAGTTATTCTTCTTTCGTACTCACCACAGAAACATTCTTCTCGGAATGTTTTTTTAGATGGCTTTATTGATTTTCCTTTCTTTTTTTTTTTTTTTTACTGAAATGTTGTAGCATTATTATCATTAACAGAAGGTTGTTTATCTGTCTGACAGAGAATTATGCAAGCATCTCATTCAACTTCTTCTTTGTTTTCCTCTGTCCTGTGAGTATCAGATTTTCCAAGCCTTCCTTCCTTAACTATCTCTTCCTCATGTTAATTATTAGTTTCCTTTTTGTTTCCATTTTACTAAAACTTTGTTGTGGTTCAGTTCATGGTATCCTCAGCATAGTGATTCCAAGGCTGAAATCAAAGAATTAATGTGTGATTCTAAAGTCAAAAAGCTGAGATACTAATGCATTTACGGGAATTTTAACACTCAGTCTAGCGTAACAGAGATTGTTTCTCAGATGAGAAAAAGTCATGAATGAAAGATTTTTAAAAAATTCTTTCTTGACCAAAATGTGACATAAAAAGTGCATCACTATCAAGCACTGGAAATATGTTTGATGAATGGAATTTAAATAAATTAAGAAGTTAAGCAACATAGAGCCTGGTCAGTACCTAGACTGTTGACCACTATAAGGTTGGATATGCAACTGATGTAATGAAAAAAGACACACAAAGAGAAACTGGAGAAGAGATTACATTCCACTCTTCACTCCCAAGCTATGGGTTAAATAATACAATGCATATTAGTAAATCAGTATTATTTCTCCACAATTGTTAATGAAATATTCACTCACAAAAAAAAAAAATGAATTACTCTCTATATCCAAAAATATATTTCCCCATTAAATAAGCTACAAAGGGTTGATAATCCATAAAATAACAAAACAATCAATCAACAATTAAAATTAACTCATATCATTTTTACAGTGAGTGGCAGGTGAGGCGGATAATTTTTATCAGGGTTGTCCCATTGAGCATGAAGAGAAATAAATGACTGAAAGGAAATGAAAGATTTATGACGAAATATAATAAAGATTAAAAAGACAAAATGAAAGAAAGGGTGGAGAAAAAAAAAACAAAGAAAAACACGGATGAAGGATAAAAGAAAGAAAGTGTAAGAAAAAAAAAAAGGAAAAAGAGAAAGAAAAAAGGAAAAAGGGAGTAAATAAAGAAAGAGAAAGAAAAGAAGGAAGAAGAAAAAGAAAGAAAATGAGGAAAAGAAATAAAAGGAAAGAAAAAGCAAAAAGAGGAAGAAAGAAAGAGAAAAAGAGAAGAAGGGAAAAGAAGAAAGAAGAAAAAAGGAGGAAAAGAAAGAAAAGGAAGGAATAATAAATAGGAGGAAAAGAATGAAAAATGAAGAAAAAAGAAAAGGCAAGAAAAGGAAAGAAAAGGAAAGAAAATGAGAAAAAGAAAGAAAGAAAAAGAAAAAAAGGAGGAAAAAAAGAAAGGGAAAGAATAATAAATAGGAGGAAAAGAATGAAAAATGAAGAAAAAAGAAAAGGCAAGAAAAGGAAAGAAAAGGAAAGAAAATGAGAAAAAGAAAGAAACAAGAAGAAAAAAGGAGGAAAAGAAAGAAAAGGAAGGAATAATAAATAGGAGGAAAAGAATGAAAAATGAAGAAAAATGAAAAGGCAAGAAAAGGAAAGAAAAGGAAAGAAAATGAGAAAAGAAAGAAAAAAAAAAAAAAAAAGGAGGAAAAAAAAAAGAAAGGAAAAAGAATAATAAATAGGAGGAAAAGAATGAAAAATGAAGAGAAAAGAAAAGGCAAGAAAACAAAGAAAATGAGAAAAAGAAAGGAACAAGAAGAAAAAAAGGAGGAAAAGAAAGAAAAGGAAAGAATAATAAATAGGAGGAAAAGAATGAAAAATGAAGAAAAAAGAAAAAAGAAAGAAAAGGAAAGAAAATGAGAAAAAGAAAAAAGAAAGAAAAGAAAGAAAAGGAAGAAAAATAAACAGAATGAAAGGAGCAAAACAAGGAAAAAGAGGAGAACAAAGCAAAAGGGCAAAAAAGAAAGATAAAGAAGGAAAAGAAATCAAAAAAGAAAAGAAACCTAGAGAAATCGTAAATAGAGAGAAAAGAGGAATTTTTTGATGGAAGGATAAAGACAAGAAAAGACTTAGACAAGAATTAGAATTTAAAAAGAATCACAGATATGCCGCCATTGGTCCATTTTCCTTCCAAAGTCATTTTAAATGTTTTCTGGAATGCAAAAACCAAAGTCAACATTTGAAATCTTTTTGCTAGTTTTTTTTTCTGTCTTTGAATTCACTCTCTAAAAATCAATTTGGTAATTTATAAAACCTAATTCTAAAAAATTTCAAAGCCATCAACGAGGCTGCTCCCAGGCATACCTTTCTCACTGAAAAGTAACCTTAGAAATAATTTTAAAGAAAAAGACATTCATACTTGCACAAAGAGTGAATATAAAGATCATTGACAAGTTAAGAGATTGTTTCTTTAACCGAATAACTCGGGCTTGTGACTAAAAGCAGGTATCTAGATCTTTCTTAAACACAAAAAGACAAGTATATGAATATATTGGGTGTAAAGCGTTTTTAAATATAGACAATGTGGACATAGGAAAAAACACTGTATGGTGAGTTACATTTTCATACCTTGAGAGATAGTCTGAATATCGTCTGATGATCGCTAAAGTATGAAACTGTCAGTCATCATGTAATATGTTGTTTCCCAGGTACACTCTTTATTTATATATATATATATATATATATATATATATATATATATATATATATATATATATATGATAAAATATAGTTTTAAGGTATGCTATATTTATGGGTTAATGTGCTCAATATCAGAAATAGAGTGTATGTAAATATAAAAATGGATATTAGACACAAAATCCTGAGGCAACAGTCTGTTTCATGCTAATCTGCAATCGTCACACTTATATATATATATATATATATATATATATATATATATATACATATATATATATATATATAAAAGCAAGATGTGTCTGTGTGTGTAATGAATGCATGGCCACAATTTTCAATGGATTTGCACCAAAATTTACATGCAAATTCTCCAAGTTAGCGGGAAGGCCAAGATTGACTTTGCATTTCCCAACTCCCATCGATAGTGGATATAATCGATTTTTTCATGCTGCTACAGCAGTTTTCATGTAGTTTGCAGCCATTTTGTACTGGCCAGAGTGAGAGCCTATAGCTGGCTGCCACGAATAGGCAGGAAGATTCTATTGGCCAGCGTGAGAGCCAACAGCTGACTGACACGAATGTTAAGTACCATGCTAGCATGCAAAAAAAAATCGATAGCTGCATTCGTCACAAGTGGGAAAAATGTAAATCTGCATGGCAATTTACTCCAATTGACTTATTTGCTTGCTTAAACTCAATGTTGATTCTGATTCCACAGTAATGGGTTGGGTGTGAAAAAGTATTTGTTGTTAACATTCTTTTTTCATTCGGTTTTTCCAGTTACAAGTCCTTTTTTTAAAGCTGATCGTTTTGTGTTCATTTTGTTTAGTTCTTTTATCGTAACAGATTTAATGTTAAGTATAGAGCTTAGAAAAAAATTTGCACTGTGAGATAGGCAAGAAGTAAGGCATGTAACAACATCAGCATGGCAAAGGGCACTCCTTTAAAGGCAAGGAAGGGCAAAAATATTTTAAGTCAAGTGATAGCGGTTGCTGTATGAGTCATATGATTTTTGAATCAAGCACGGGCAATGCCAGGCCATGCTGCTAGCATATATATATATATATATATATAATTCCAAGGTTTGAATAAGCAGCTCTAAATAGAGTCTGCCTAAAATTAACCTTCCGGCATAAAAGTGCTCCATGCCATAAAAATGAACATTTGAATATTAATTCAATAATCAGGTAGGCAATGAATGGCCATTATTTTAAGTTTCAATATATGTTTAAATATATATATATATATATATATATATATATATATAATTAGAAGAAAGAGTCCGCATGTGCTTCATATAGTTTATAAAATAGAGTAGATAAGTTGGTTAATAAAACAAAGTCAAATGTAAGGGTACTGATGGGATCAGCATGAAAAACATTTATTAATATTAACTACATGACAGAAATGAAACACGGAGATTAAGGTTCCAAGTTCGGAATTTTTGGACACACCTGTTTCCTTTATCAGTGGATACAAGAAATAAACAGAGAGATGGTGGAGACTCACCAGAAGTAAGTTCTTGAGGCTGGGGAGAATCCTGTTTGTAGATGGAATTACTAGTAAAAATCCGATCTCTGCCTAGTTCCTTGCTGTGCAAAACTTTTTGTGAAAATAACCTTAGATTTACAAATTGGGATTGGTGATGGGTGGAAGAGGAGTGAGATATTTTGGACAAGGTGTGGGGGGGCTATGGGACCTGGGGGTAGGTGTTAGTGTTTAGAGATTTGGCAAGATAGGATAAAGTGTGGAAACAGAGGAAAAAAGGAATAATGATAAAATGCAAGGAAAAAAGAATCAAGAGAGAAGAAAGGAATAACATAAAAAAGGGGACAAAGAATTCTGTTGGAAAATCAGTGTCAAAAAAATGGGAGCTGCGGATAAAATAAACTGAAATGAAAAAATATAAAAAATACTAATATTAAAGATAATGATAATATAATTTTTGTGTTATTCCTTTCATCCATGCTTCATTTCTGTCATGTGGTTAATAATTAATAAATGTTTTTCATACTGAATCGGTACCTTTTTTGTTTGCTTTTATATATATATATATATACACACACATATATATACATACATATATATATATATATATATATATATATATATATATATATATATATATGTATATATATAAATGTATGTATATATACATACATATATATATACATATATATATATATATATATATATATATATATATATATATATATATATATATATATATATATATATATTTATATATATATAGACATGCATATATATATACATATACATGTATATAAACATATATATATTTTCGCTTCCAGTGTCTTATATGCACGAGTTAGAGTTAAGCATCTCATAAGTTTATAACCATCTTTGTTCCTCACCTGATGAGATGCTTACCTTTAGGCATCGAAAAATATGCATCTTTGTAATGTTTATTTGTTTATCCGTATGTAACAACTTATAATAAATATATATGTATATATTTGTTTGTCCATATGTAACAACTTATAATAAATATATATATATATATATATTTCTCTTGTCCATATGTAACAACTTATAATAAATAATTATTGCTTTACTCTTGGTATTGAGCCCTCTTTTAAATTAATGTCTTGATCATTTGAATTTATATTGTTTTCATTCCCATTACATTTGTATATACATATATATGTGTGTGTGTGTGTGTGTGTGTGTGTGTGTGTGTATACTGCCCTTAAGCACATTTGCCTTGTTTTAGATTCTTGAAAGTTTATAGCTGAACAGCTTCCTATTTGAAGCAAAACCAAAGCATTAAAAGACATCTTCTATCTAGCACATGTCCCTTCAGGAAGTGTGTTATCACGTTTCTTTACAATTTTCTGTTGTATGTATCTCTTAGAAAAATTTGCCTTTTTACAAATTCTCCTAATCCCTGTTCTGTCAATTGTTAATTAGTTTATATACTGATTTCAGCTCTCTATTTCTTCTTTAATACATTCGATTAGTTTTTATTTCTTCTGCTATGACATATATACATAATAACATAAAAGCATAATGACATATTTACATAATAACATAAAAGCATAATGACATATGTACATAAAAACAAAAAGGCATAATGACATATATACATATAAAAAGGATAATGACACATATACATAATAACATAAAAGCATAATGACATATATACATAATAACAAAAAAGCATAATGACATACATAATGACATAAAAGCATAATGAGATATATATGCATAATTGCATAAAAGCATAATGACATATATACATAATAACAAAAACACATAATGATATATATACATAATAACAAAAACACGTAATGACATATATACATAATAACAAAAAAGCATAATTACATATATACATAATAACTTCACATATGACAATTTACATGATCATGTAACGAAGCAGACAGACTTTCTTCTGCACTAATAAAGTTTATCCAAAACTGCTGCTAATAATTTATATACCTATAATAATAGCTTGTTTGAATAAATCAACTTCTAAATTTGTAAGAATTCAGTTAATCTACTTCAACTGCATCAGTTTACTATAAAAATACAGGTGAGCTTACATAGATGCCAACTACACTATTTTATATATTTTTCATTGATTAGTAGTCATAAATCATACCATACTATAACACTGGTTCTCATTGAGTTTGGTCAGTACCTGGATGGGTGATACTTGGAAATTCCAGGTGCTGTAAGATTGGGTGGGCAAATAGTTCTAACGGATAATGTCTTAGAATTGGAAATTCCAGTTCGGTTCATTATTATTCACTTACATGCAAATACTCTTGGGAAAGAGATAATTCCAGCTCTTGTCCCCCTAGCTGTGGATTAATTAGTAGGACTTGCATCAGTATATCTCTATCTCCAAAGATGTCGTGAAATCTAAAAATATTTTCTGGCTTTAAATAACTTGCAAATTTTCTTCTTCTATACGCTTCTAAGTGATCATGTCACTCCACAATTTCCTGTTCTTCATAGCTCTTAATAAATTTTGTCATTTCTCCTAAACATTGTTCCACCATCCATTTACTCAAGGTAACTAAATAGTTTATGCTTTGTTTTCCTTTGTTTCTTCAAACTGTCCTGTGAGTATCAGATTTTCCAAGTCTTCTTTCCACATTATCTGCCCTGGAAATTTCTGACGTTAATTATGTTTCTTTTTTATTTCCAATTTCTCTAAAGAATTTTTGGTTGTTGCTCACATGTTCAGTTCATGGTATTTTCAGCATCCTTCTGTAGAACCACATTTCTGTTGCTTCAAGTCGCTTCTACATCTGTGCAGATATTGTTCAGCATTCACTTGCTATACAGGAAGACAGATATCATGTAACAGTTCTGTATACTTTTCTTTGTATATAATGAAATTTTTCTGTTTCATAATACTCTGCTTAGATTTCGGAAGGCATCTTTTGCTATACCAATGCCCTCAATGGTTGATAAGCCATGAAAAACAAATTGATCAATCATTGATTAGTACAATTGGTAAATATTTTGATGTCTTTATCTTTTATGCATAGGTTGCAGCAAAACACAATCCTTGAAAATGAATATTGCAACAGTCGAAAGAAAAAATAAAACAAAATATAAATAAATATGAACTTTGATAAATTTACCGATTATATTAAATGACTAGTTTGGAAATTTGAAAAAGTTAATAAAAACCTGGAAAGACAGTACTTTACAATAAAAAACAACATGATTTTACCAACCATGTAATAATAAAATGAGTCAAACCACATCAAATATACTAATTCGTTCACTAGCTCAGTCACTAAGGCTACTTTCAAAATCTACAACTCAAACTGTAGAAGTCATAATTTACTTATTAGAATGAACACTATGCCAGAAACAAGATGTGGGAAAATCTGAATGTCCCTTTCAATGTATATAGCTGTTAACTTGTATATGTAGATACACATCTACTAGGGTGGCTAGCCAATCCCTATTACAGACGCTTGCTCAGGCACATATTTTGTTTGTTCAACACCCACAGAGCCCACCTGTGGTTTATACCGCAACTATGCTGAGCAGACCTTAGTTACAGTTTCTGGGAAAGAGCATTTTATCTAGCATGATCAACAATTTGAACAAGACCAGCACTCTCAAGTCCTCGGCCATGATGACTTGTGATTTTGTGTTAGCACAGCTATCGACAGCCCCCAAGTGTTCCATGTAGCCTATTTCATTCATAAGGTTTGAACAAGGCCCTTTCACTACAGAATTAATAAAAGTACAGTCTAATAAAACTATTACCTATGGATACGTCAAATTCCTAATTCTGTACCTAAAAACTTGATCATAAACATTTGACTTACTGTGGTGTGTCTACAGTATTTTTCTGTAGCAATGTATGAATATATACCAAAAATTCTATAAAAGAAATGTTTTATTCATTGTTTGAAATACCTGCTAACGTGAGCATTTCTTTTTGCACCGATGAATATTGCCGCACAAGAAGCAGACAATTGACAAGCAACGAACAAGGAGGACACACAGACTTCTTTCAGCAGTCCACTTAAACTGCGTTTGGCGGCTGTTGTAAGTTCAGCTGGTTCGAACTGCGAGATCTACCATATCTGCAGCAGAAACAGCTCCAGCAGCAGCAGAAAGGAATTGTTGGGTTTATATTTCTTTTCTTTTCTTCTTTTTTGTTCCACAATACTGCATGCAACCATCAATAGAATTCCATTTGCTGGCTCTGCGGCAACCACTGCTGCCACTGCCACATACTGCACATTCTCTCTAACCAGCATCATTGTATATACTATTTCCACTGATGCTGTAATGGTAGCTATTCTCTTTACTAACATCAACTATTGCTACTACCACTGCTTCAAATATGACTGCATCAACTGATGTACCACTGCTACAGCTGTCTCTGTTAGTTTTAAATTTTTACACACTTTCGACCTTATTCTATCAATAATACAGACGATAGGGAATGGAAGATTCTTCAAGACATGAGGAGTAATGGCTCTCCACAGCTTTCTCTCATTTATAACCCTTAGCAATGTTTCTTATATTTAAATTATGTATTGTCATGAATTTTGGGGGACTCATAATGGAATAGTTTCCTGTTCCCTTCTCTGTAATGATTTTATTGAGACACAAACTCAAATTAGTTGGCTGATGACTTATCGAGTGTAATAGGGCAAAAAATATATCCATATTTTCTTTATTAAGTCTCTCTGAATACTGAGACATAATTCACTCAGTTTTGATAGTAGGTAACAATTTGTTTCATGCATGTCACACACTGTCCCCAATGCGTTGACCTCAGCTCAGTTTTCACAGATATATCTATATATATCTATCTATCTATCTATCTATCTATCTATCTATTTATATATATATATATATATATATATATATATATATATATATATATATATATAACAGGTGCAACAGCGGGTGTTATATTATCATGCAAATTAAAATGTTGCATGAAACTGCTTCTGGACCCGCATGTCTTTGCAAATATCACATTTCAGTTGCTGGACGTCTATGGCTTTATAGTCAATTGCCACCCTCTGTCGGATATATATATATATATATATATATATATATATATATATATATATATATATATATTATAAATTAACTGATTTAAAAATATGGTTCCTTCACTACAAAGGAATTACCATGTTTCAAAACCGAAGCTAAAAGCTTCAAATTTGATTATATAAGTAAATTAAAAGCATTAGTTCTGTTTCATCTTCAAGCGAATTTTGGAAACTTGAAGTTTTTAGCTTCGGTTTTTGAAACATGGTAATTCCTGTGTAGCAAAGGAACCATATTTTTAAATCAGTTAATTTATAATATTTATGGTCTGTATATTTACATTGAGCACTGAGCATTGAACAATAAGAACACTGGATTATATATCTTACTGTTCTTTTTTTTTTAATATATATATATATATATATATATATATATATATATATATATATATATATATATATATACAGGTGCGATGGATAAATTGTCATCCAAATTACACAAAAATGAAAAAATAAACTGGCATCTTTTAAAAGATATAATTACCAGAATTGCACAAAAATATCTTGAAATACTACAGAGTTAATTTAAGCCATAATTGAGTTCTTCTGCTTGTGTGGCACAGTGCAAAGTCCTGTTGCCAGACATTGGATCTTTCAGCAGCCAGCCTCTTGACCCAGGACAGCACTACCTCGTCAAAGCACTTGATGTAGGACTCTGTGTTGAGACTGAGGCCCTGTGTGAAGATGAATGGAGCCATAAAGTGGCCATCACTAGTGATCACTCCAAACACCTTCGTAATCACCATTAAAATCATCCAGCTCTTTCCCGACGTGTATATACATTTTTTTTACCAAAAGTGGCTTTTTAAGTCCTGGATAAATAAAATTTGTCCAAAGCATAACATTCAAAATCCAGCTACGGGACATGTTTATACGTCAATCTTGATTCTTTTTACGTAAGTCTTGTCACCACTACATATTATAATTTTCCATTTCCAGGGGCTGACACAAAATTGAAGATGTTCATACAGACTTTCTCAATGTGTGACAACATCAATGAAAGTGAATAAACTGAATCAAGTACATGTTTTTTTTATTACTGTATTACTTTTTCTACTATTGTTCTCATTACTTTTTGGTAGGGAGTGACAGGACTATTGAAGCACCCTGTACATGTTTTTGAGACACCCTACATTATTAAACATTTATATATGTATGTATATATATATATATATATATATATATATATATATATATATATATATATATATATTGGGGAAAAAATAAAAGACAAAGTGTAAAAAGATTTTGTGTGACACATTTCATCATACATTTTTATCATTTTATATCATCAACTGATATATATATATATATATATATATATAGTTGTATTGATGCATGTTTGTGACCCTGGTTTTCATGCCCTTGTGATTGTCAGTCAAGGGTGTGAAACCCAGGGTCACAAACTCACATCAATACAACTAAATATGTTAGCTCTATCACTGATATTGAGCACTTTCCATTAAGTACCACACATATATAATATATAAATAATAAATATAAATCATAATTACATATATATATATATATATATATATATATATATATATATATATATATATATATGCATACTTTTATATATATATGTGTGTGTGTGTGTGTGTGCAGGTATGTAGAAAAATAGGAAAGAACACGTTAAGTAAATAATAAAGTTCTTTATTATTTTTGTTTTTATTTTTAAAAACACTACTCCATACAGAATTAGAGCTTAAATTATAATTATTTTTTCAAAAAATATGATTCCTTATATATAAATAAGATAACGATATATATATTTTTATATATTGTGTATTTAGGTAGGTAATGTTCTTTATGGCAAACGTCATTAAAAACAAGAGATATTTTTTGTCGATTAATTTTAATGATCAATTTTTTAAAATCATGAATAATGTTTCTCAGACAAGTAGGAAATTCTGTCTGAATTTGTACAAAGTTCATTTCAGAAGAAAGTATGGTCAAAAGTTTTAACTTTCTTAAGTCATCATCAGGTTGAAACAATTGCTGAGTTTCCTAGTAAACAGTGTTATGTAGGCAAAGAGTTTTTTATGCAAGCAAGGTGTGACGTGTGTTTATTTTTTGAGGATATGGGTTTTTGACATTTATTTACCCATTAACAGACTTTTTCACAGGCATTTGATATCTTCAGTTGCTTCAGACTAGTGTTCTTTTTCAACTTTTTCAAAAGGAATGCATCCAAGGATACAAAATGCCCATTTTGAAAATTACACTGGGTGAAACCGACTGTTAATGGATATATAATCTAGAAACATTATTTTTATTCATATGAAAAAAAGCTTTTACAGGTTTTTCAAATTCAACAGTCTTTTACACATATGAAAAGGAATATACTTTTGAAAAATGTGACAGAGTAGAGGTCAGGGATATCAAACACCCATTTTGAAAAATTGTACTGAAATACAGGAAACATTTTGTTAAGGGGTAAATAATCAAAGACTTTATTTTATATATATAGTGGGGGAGTAGTGGATAGTGGCTCAGATTAAGGAATCCAGGAGCTGAGTTCAAATTCCAGTTGAATCCATTACATTCACTTATGCGCTAATACCCTGGGAAAAGTATTAATCCTGTCCTTCTCCCTTCAGCTATGGGTAAATAGCAGAACAGACAAGGTTCTATAACCTTGGATGGCAACTGGTCTAGGAGAAGGAAAACCTGCGGAGGGTCATTTGGGGACCTTGTGGCACTTTGTGCATCAGGTCTCTGTATTTGGCCCTTTGAAAAGGTTTGTTCTGCACAAAGCCTTCACCACAATAATCAAATTATATGTGCTGGTGTCTGCACTGTCTGTTCCTAGGAACTGAGCTGCTTGACCCTCATACATTGAATATGGGAGAGTCCACCATATATATATATATATATATATATATATATATATATATATATATATATATATATATATAATAATGAAAGCAGAGACTTTAGAAACCCATGGTAATATTTTATTTCACAAAACCAATAAATGTTCAGTTTTGAACCCCGACAATTGCCAGTTCTGAATCACCTCTCAGTTTTTCCCCTTCTTTCTCTTGTTTTCTTACTCTTTCCTTTTTGTTTCTTTTGCTCTCTTTCCTTTGTATCTTTCCTCTGTTCCCCTTTTAAATATACTTTCTCTACCTTACTTCTCACATCCGGTGGAAATGGGTCAACCTGTTCACTCTCATCCACCACCACAGTTTTACTTTTCACTATTACTCCCCCTCCCTTATATCTCTCTAGACAGATGTATAATATCTTCTTTTCTCCACCTTTCTCTTTCTTTCTTATTCCCTTCCTCCATTTTGAATCTGTATTTTGAAACATAATTTCTGTTTAAATATTTCATTTTGTACCTGGTAAAATTTTAAATCCATTCATTGTGGAACTTGTCTTTGGTCTGATGAGATAAAACCAAAGTATCAGTTTAAATGAAATAAAATATTACCATGGATTTTTAAAGTCACCACTTTCATAATTATCATTTGCTCTGTTCTTACATTGAGCTCTCTCTGGATCTATATTCTCTTTGCAATTATCCAAACAGATTACCAAATAATATTGTCATCTATATATATATATATATATATATATATATATATATATACAAATAATAGAAAGAACAGATGCTGTAAATTTCCACTATTTGTATCATTTACTTTAAAAAATGAGCTCAATACAAAGTAGAGCAAAATAGTATTATTATTTTTATTATAAGAGATTACAATAAAACCATGTTGAAAGGTCAGAATTAAAAATAGACTTGTAGGTATACCTTGTCTGGTTTATTAGGACACGAAAAAATAACTCCACCCACCTCCATTCTCTGAGCTTACTTTTCTATTTAGTGTAGATTTGACATTTAATTGGTTAGTCAAGACATACCAACAAGTCTATTTTTTAATTCTGACCTTATATCTCCCCAACTTTAACTTTCAGAAAAGAATTAACACTTTGATATAAATTTCCTTAAAAATCATTTAATCCCCAGTTACTTACCATCGCCTGAAGAAGTACAATCATAGTAATGAAACATGAAAGCTTTTGTGTAGCAATTTCAACATGGTTTTATTACAGTCTCTTATATTAATAATATATATATATATATATATATATATATATATATATATATATATATATATATATGCAAAATTTCTCACAGTTATCCTGTCGGGAAAGAAAATATGTATATATATGTAAAAGACAATAGAAAAATTGTATTAGCCGACAGGTTTCATCCAATGTAAACTTTTCCAAGGCAAAAATGAAATGAATTTATTAAAAACAAAGTAACTATTAACAACAAAAAAATGTCCTTAACAACTAGAAGAATTTAGAAAACACTATTGTATTCATATTGAAAATTATGTCAAGTACTGTCACATGTGGAAATATTTTTATTGTTGTGTTGACGGATTCAACTATTTTCTTTTGATTTCTTGATCCAGTTGTCTACGTTTGCTTGGGAGAGTAGTAATTCTGTTAGGAAAGGTGATATAGGGAAAAAACCTGGGCATAGATTAATATTTGGATAATATTCAATGGTAGCACTCTCAAGGATTTTCCTTCTGAGTAAGTTATTTTCTTTTTTTATGAGTGTAGCATTTTAAAAATCAAAATTGTGCTTGAATTTATTTCTATGTATGACTAGTACATTAGTTAAGTCATTTTTTGTGAGGTCTCTTTTGTGCTCATAGATGTGTTTTTTAAATTTCTGCTTGTTTCTCCAATATATATATATATATATATATATATATATATATATATATATAGGTAAAATGAGAATGAATGGAATTCAATTTCAATGTTGGTAACATTCAATTTAAAAAAGGGCTCAATACAAAAGTAGAGCAATATTCTTTATTTTAGGATATTACATCAAATGTAAATTTACATTTTAAAAAAATTTCAAGAGCATCATTTACTCACTTTTGTTTATTGGACATTGAATTGTGTCACTTAGTATCCTCCATAACTTGCTTGACTTTTCAGCTAACCTGATGAATATTTTAGTTTGGAATTAATTTATGTGTTAAATATTTAAATAACATGACATTATGAATTATACCTTTTATGTATTATGAATTTTACCTTTTTTTTTCTTATAGTCATGTATGTTGACTTGGGAAAGCAGTCATTTTTTCAGGAATGGAGATATTTTTAAAAAATCTGGGGCACAAATTTATATTTTGATAAGATTCAATAATAGCACTTTTGAAAATTTTCCTTCTAACTTGCTTTTTCTTTTAATAAGTGTGACATTCTTTAAATAAAAATTATGATTGAATATGAGTTGATTTACAGAATTTTGGCAGATATAGTAAACCAGAACTGAAGTTGGTTTTTTTTTTCTGGTTTGGTTTGTTTTACGGCATATCAACTTCAATGGGTTATTTAATGACGATAACATTTTTAGGATAGATTCGTATGAATAGAATATTTCTTTTTTGGTTTAGATTGGTTTGGTTTATTTTGTTTTACAGCATGTCAACATCAATGGGTTATTTAATGCCAACAAAATTGTTTATTACAGGTAATATTTTTTTTGTCAAAAATCTGTTTCTGGGAATATTTTTCCTTAAAAAATGTATTGCTGGTAATAATTTTTTTTTTTAAAAATGTATTGCTGGTAATAGTTAACTATTTGCCCATAGCTGGGATGCTAACAGGTGCTACCACTCTGGGTCAGAGTGGACCTGGGAACACCAGCAATTAAGAGGTGGTTTTAAACTCCTCAAAACCTTCTGATCAGAGGCCTTGCTGCTGGACATAATTTATGGTTTTACCCAGGATGCACATGTAGTTTATCGTCATACCCATGATGGAGAACTGAAGTTGAATGACAGAAATAGTAAACAGGATTTGCCTTATTCTCGATGAAATGGAGTTTGTCTTTGTCTGGCATGTAGGACTTTGATTTGAGAGAAAGCGAGTACGTTGTTTCATCAAAAGAGAATCCTTTTTTTGTTGTCACATAAGAAATTTGTTCATTAGCAACTGGATTAGCATGGTCGGATGGAATCAAGGAGGGACATCTGGGTGTGTTAGTGCTCCATTCTGAGTTGTCCATATGTCTATTATTCGGGTGAGTGATTGGTGATTTCCCATTATGTTTAGACCATCACAGAAATGAGGGATATATCATAGTGCATGTACAGTTGTGACAGGAGGAATAAAAAATGAAGCAGATACAGGGAAGAGAACAACAAAAAATACCAAGAAACCTGTGTAGAGGGAAGAAATGCCAAATCTAAAATTGTCCCAAAACAGACTAGCTAATTTCTTTTGACCACAAGAATTTAAGAGACTTTTCCAGGAGAGACATTTATTAACTTTAAAATAGTACAAAACTCTAATCTCCTTCAAAGTCAGATTCTTTGACTTCAGTGCCCTTCTTGTCGAAGTCCAGCCCCCACCCCCGGAAAGACCTCATAGAAATCAGTCAAAACTTGGGGAATGACCAAAGGTCAGAGGAAGCAAGGTATGAAATGTAGGGAGAGTGAGGGACAGTTTTGATGACCATCCCTTTCAACACAAAAGGTTATTGCTAAATAAACTGCATTCTGAAAAACTAGTCATCTGTGACAAGCAGTGTTTAATAGGGCGTGTTCAGAGAGCTATTCCCTTCAATCTGGTATAACAAAAATTGGTGGGTCAGCTTATTAGATGCATAGCAATGATATACTAAAATTACGATAATCTAGGAGACTTGTTATAACTCTCCTAAAAAGTTTCAAATCTTCTGGACTGCACCTTGTACAAAAGAAAGGAAATTGTGGAGAGCCATGATCTTCAACATCCTGAAGAAGAAAATGAAGATGGAATCAATCTTATATATAATATATATATATATATTATTTTCATCTACAAAAACCTCAATTCAACTGAGATGGTCAATACAATAGACTTGCCTTTTAGAAATCATCTTCCAATTAACCATAAAAAACAATTTAAACTTCGTCTATATTTCTGAGATGAGGTATAATGTGGAGAGCCATGATCATGAACATCCTGAACGAACGTGGCACATAGAAGTAAATGAAGATGGTATCAATTTTATATGTAAAGAAAAGGAACAATTGCTGGGAGTATAAATACAACAATTTTGTTAATATCAAAACATTAATGATACAGGGATGTTTAATTTTTCAATTTAAATTTTGGGTCCCAATGTGTCTAAATTTTAAACTTAATCTATTGATTCAGCTTTTTATTGCTTTTGTTATTACTATTTTGAATTATCCCATGTTGAATTAGTGGTAATTTCTGTCAGGAAACAAGATATGTTATATGTATATTATGTGTATATGTTATATGTATATGTTATATGTATGTTATATATATATGTTATATGTATGTGTTATATGTTATATAATACTGGATGTAAATTTACAATAATTCTCAAATTACTTGCTCTCTCAGCACTCAAGAAATTTCTTACTCTTTTATTCTGAACAGCATTCTTTAAGCCAAAATTATGTTCAGACATTAAAAAGAGTGATTAATCTATCAAGTATATTATTTTTTTTAATAAAATCCTTTTTAACATCTATTTATATTTCCAAGATGAGGCATTGTAACTTTTTACACTTATATACATCCTTCAGACTGTTGTCCTCATCTTTATTGCCATATTCACAATGTTTCGGCTGTTGTACATTCATGCCTCCTTCAAGTAATACATGTTAGAATTTCAAACCAAGCTTTTTATTTCATCTATGGGGGTAGATTGTTCTAGTTCCATGTGCCGTGCCTTTTCTGGATATTTCAGGTTCAGTTATTTTTCTTTAGTAACTCAACTCTTCAAGTGTTTGTCCACCTCTGCTGTGGCCAAGTATTGAACTCACAACTCTTTGGGTCAAGTGAATGGATTATTTCAACCAACACTTTGCAGACACATGGTCCAGTGGATAAAAGCATTAGTTGAAAATGGTTGTATCAGAATCATTGAAGGGATATCTGGTAGTCCATGCCTTAAAAGATCATACAAGACAAAAGACTTTCTCAATGTCTGTGATCTTAGGTTGTTTTATTTTCATTTTTAATTTTTTTACAAAAATGCTCATTGGAAAATGTCATGATGCTTATTTTGATCTTAGTTCTCTGGTTGGGACCCAGAAGGAAATGAGTATACAACAGAAATCAAAGGAAATAATAATAATAATAATAATAATAATAATAATAATAATAATGATGATGATGATGTGTTTTTTATTGACATGGCAGTTCCTGTAGACTCTAATGTATCTTTGATCTTCAAAAAACTATCGAAATACAAGGCTGGAAATCTCAAACATGTGGTACATGAAGACA